GGAAACGTGAAAATGGCGAATTTTGAAAAACAAAAGCTTTGTCATTTGCTCACGGCAGGCAAACGAACAAACGAGCAAACGAGAAAACAAGCAAACAAATAAAAAAAAAAAAAATTTTTTTTTTGTTTTTTTTTTTTTTTTGTTTTCTCGTTTGCTTTTTAATCACTTAAACAGGAAGATAAAAAGACAATAATTTTTAAGTTGGTTGTTCGTATTCCCCCAAGGACGTATAAATAAATTTAAAACCTTTCTTGTTGGTTGTTTTTCATGTAAAAACAACAAAAAATAATAAAAATTTTTTTTCTGTTTTTAAAAAGTAAATAAATAAATAATAATTTTTTTTTTTCGGACGCCATATTATTTGTAACGAACGAAACAATTACTTTTTTTTGTTTTAATTAATTATTTTTTTCGATAATATTGATAATAATAAAATGATTTGTTAATAATAATAATAATAATAATAATAATAAATATAAATAAATAAAATATTGATAGACAATATATCGATAATTAAGTACAAAGTTTTTATTTTGATTCACGCAGTAGTAGAAAATTTTTTTTTTTTAAATTCGAATTTTATAATTAAGTCGTATAACAAAATCAAAAGTTTTTTTAAGAACAGGTTTAAACGACAGGTAAAGTAAAAATTATTTCGTTTGTTATTTTTTATTTTGTTGTTTGTTCGTTTGTTTGTTTCGGTTGTTCCGAAAATTTTTTTTTTGTTATTCATAGTAATAAATTTAAAAAAAAAACTCGAGGTGGTTTTTATTTGTGAAATGATGTCGTCGTCAAACGTGATATATTTATTATTTGTAAACGATGAGTAATTTTTTTTTTTTTGTCGTGGCACTAGAAAGTATTTTCAATAAACCGTTAATTTATTTAAAGTTGATAAAACTAAACAACTTTTTTTTTTTTTGAAACAAAAAAAAAGGGGGGGGAGGCAATCGGAGAAAAACACGGGTCCAATTTTCATATAAATCTAAAGTTGTTAAATAATCGATTGGAAAAAAGAAAAATAAATATGGCGTAAAAAAAAAAAAACAAAATACCATTTTATAAAATTAATGACACGTTTGTTTATTTCTTTTTTTTTTGTTAATAACACTTTTAAAACTTAAAAATAAATGTGCGAATGTTAAATTTTTTATTTTATTACTCACTTTATTTATTTATTTCGTTTTACACGGAATTTTTTTTTAATAAAATTTATTTATTATTTGACCACGTGCGATACATAACTTGATTATTAATCACGTGACTATTTAAATCCATAAAAATAAATAAATACATAAAAAAAATTCAAAAACGTTTAAAAAGAAAAAAATCTATTATAATTCGTAATTAGATTCCTTTGAATTTTCCTTTTCTTTTTTTACTTTTAATTCTTATCAAAAAAAAAAAAAAAAAAAAAAAAAAAATAATAATAATAATAATAATAATAATAATAATGATGATAATAATGATGATGATGATGTTTTATGAAGAAAAAGAAAATCTCGTCAACGATAAAAAAAAAAAAAATTTTATAATAAATACTTTATGCCTGAAAGGATTTTACAGAACGGAAATGATATTAATCGAGATTCACGAAAAATGATAATAATAATAATAATAATGAGCGAAAGAAATAATAATAATTAAAACGTTTAAAAATTCATAATTTTCGTTTACAAATCCGTTATTTACACGTTTAAAAATATTTTTTTAAATTATTTAACTCGTGCCACGTTTTTAAATAAAAATGACGTCACTTTTATTATCTCCGAATGATTTTTACGATGACAGGTACATTAACTCCTGTGTTATCAGAACCTTTCGTATTAATTAAAATAATGATAATAAAATAATATTAATTAATAAAACTGGAAACAAAAAAAAAATCTGGAACGAAATGAAAACTCTTGGAAAATTACAAAACCGATATAATAATAATCCGGGCGAAAAATAAATAATTAACGACTATTTTTTTTGTTTGTCCGACTAGATACGCCACTGAATTTTTAAAAAAATAATAAATTAAAAATAAATTTCCGTTAGTTTAAAAAAAAATATATACTTATATACACGTGTGTGTGTGTATAAGAAAAACAATATTATTATCGATCATGTACGAAAAAAAAGAAAAATTTTGCACGAAAGGCAAAAAATGGGGAAAAAAGGCTTTCGAAAGGTTCGGAGCGAGATAACGGAAGTTAAAATTTAACCGGAAACAGCATGGTACAATTTAATTTACTTTTTTTCACATTTAATGATTTAATAACAAATTTTTCTTTTTTTTTTTAATTTTTTACACACACCCAACGGCAATAATCTAAAATGATGATGATGATAATAATAATAATAATAATAATAATAATAATAATAATAAAGTACACGTTGATTTATAAACGTATTAATTAAATAATTTTCTTTTTCTTTTTTTTTCGTCCAATATTTTCTTCCATTATGAATTCATTTTTAAAAAAAATCATTTAAATTTCCTCTCTCTCCTCTTCCCCTTCTTCCTCCGCTCCCAAAATTTTATATTTTCCGTTTTTTAAACAAAAATTATTAAATCTAAACACGTAGGAAAAATTAAAAAAATTTTTTCTTAATTTAAAAAAAAAAAAAAATTTAATCGGACTTGGATTATTTAACCCCCCTCCCTCCCTCATCTTTTCCCCCTCCCATTCCTTTTTCTTACGATTTCTTATTTTCCTCCGCCCCACCCCGTCCCACCACTCCCTCCTTTTCTTAATAAGTTATTATAAATAAAATTAATTTAATTATTTTCGAACAATTTATTATTATTTTGGAGAAGGAGAAGGAGGAGGAGGAGGGGAGGGGAGGAAGCGGGTGCGCGGGAAAACAACGGAAAAATTTAATATTGTTAAATTCGATTTAATATCATCTCGAGCGAGGGACGTTAAGGGTTTTTAAATAAATAAATATTATTAATGTTTACCAAAAACGGATCAATAAAATTTATAACAAAGAAGAAGAAGAAGAAGAAAATTTAAATTTTTTCTTCTTCCTTTTTGTGTTTATATTAATCCGGTAAAAGACTAGAAGTCATTTTTATTTTTATAGAAGAAAATTAATTTAACCGTGTATTTAATACCTAAAATTATGTACAGGTATAAATAAAAGCGAGTCGAAAAAAAAAATAATTTAAGGAAATTTAAATAAATTTTTAGTCGTTATTAAATATAATGTTTAACTTACGTAATATTATTATATATAAAATAAAAGGCCAAAAGGAAAACGGAAACAAAACGAGGTCGGTAAAATTTACGCTGCATCGAGAATCATATCCGTCTTTTTATTTCTCAAAAAGGAATAAGTTTCTTGATAAGTTTTTACTCGAGGTCTAAAGAAAATAATAATAATAATAATAATAATAATAATAATAATAATAATAATAATAATAATAATAATAATAATAATAATAATAATAGTAAAACCTTTTGGGGAACAATCGTTTAAAAATAGAGAAAGAAAAAACGAAAAAAAGGAAAAAAAAACGTCAAATCATTTTTATCACATCATTCGGTTTTTCGATTGATAT